ACGGATTTATACGCACCTGACTCGATCTACATCTTTTGATTATAGTTTCTTTTCTGGATCAAGCGTTAACTAGTGTGACTGTCAAAAGCCATGTTACTTCATCTACTCGGGATTTCTACCATGCAGGTTCCCTGTCTATAGATCCTATCAAGATTTATTTGTGTAATGTTACATTTTGCCAAACGCTCCGTCACACTTCCAATATCTGGATGATATTTGTGCAATGTAATTTACAGGATTACAACCCCAGAAACGAACAGGGTTTACCGTAAGTTAGATACAAAGGTCCAGGTAATTATTCAAATTTGTCGACAGTAGGATTTGAACTCCAGACCTCTTGCATAGCAGTCTGCTTTTAATCTGTTTGTGAATTATCTATTTAAACATTCTGATTATTAACATTTCTTCTTATTCAAAACTAATAGCATAACTATATCTGACTACTTAAGTTAGCTAACTTGCCTGTAGATTTATTTACTGTATAACTTAGATTCTCTTAGGATATATTTTGCCTAATATATTATGAGCATGCAAAGCTTTAGTTAACCTCAGAAATAATTCTTATAAGAGTAATCATATATTCATTTTACAGATTTACTTAGATTAGATTCTTATTAATGTTTGTACTAACTTAGTTCTTACTATAGCTTTCTACTAGATTAGTTTTTTAAAATTCTAGTCAGATATTTTATAAAGTAGATCTTTCTAATCTAATTAATTGCTAAACTAAGTTGATATTGCTACTAATACAAGATATTAAGTTATATTATATAGCAAATTTATTTGTATCTATTCAATCTATATCTATTAAACTTAGATTTTTTTACTAGATCAAACATTAATTAGCATGACTATTAAAATCTATACTACTTTACCAAACTCAGAATTTCTAATATGCAGATTTTTTGTCTATAGATTCTATTAAGATTTATTTATACAATATAACTCAAATATTATATCACATTTCCAATGTCTAATTGATATTAATACAATGTGATTTACAAAGTTGTAATCTCCAGAAACAGACAAAGTTTACTATAAGTTGAGTCTATGGATCTTTAAAATTAATAAAAAAAAGTTTTATCGATTTTGATTAGATAGTTATCAAGATATCTTCATTTAAAATTTGGTGCAGCTTCTGTTTTAATAGGTGTTTTAAATTATTTACTAACTTTGAATGAAGATATCTTGACAACCACCTGATCAAAATCGATGAAATTTTTTTGGTCGAATTCTAAGTTCCGTAGAATTTAACCAAAAAAAAAAAATTATCGATTTTGGGCAGGTGGTTGTCGAGATATCTTCTCTCAAAGTTTTAAAAAAAATTTCGACACAACTTCTATTTTTTAAATTGTTTACTAACTTTAAGAGAAGATATTTCGACAACCACCTGACCAAATTCGGTGAATATTTTTTGTTTGAATTCTAGAGACCAGTAGAATCCAATCAAAAATTTTTTTATCGATTTTGATTGAGTGGTTGTCGAGATATTTTTTTTACTTTAATGGGGTATAAATATTAAATTTTAGAGGTACAAATATCAATTCCTAGATTTATTATTTTAAATAAATTAAGGCTTGAGAAATAAATTATATAAAACTACAGTATATGAAAATAAGTTTTTAAAGTATAAGCTTGCTATAAGAGCTACCATATTTACTGTAATTTTTCTAAACTTTTACTCAGTCATGAAACGATCTACAGTATAATCAAAATGAGGATCTTTTCTAACAGCATAACGATAAATCTTTCTATCACAAATGACCTAGTCATGTGATGATTTTTAATATACCAAATGACCTAGGTCATTTGAAAAATGGCAAATGACCACCAAATTTACCATCCCCGAGTGTTTGATCATTTTCCCACGTTTATTATGTGACCTACAATAGTCAAAAAAAACAATAACGATAATTAATGACACTTTATATGTATGCACCAAAATATCATTTTGTGATATTATTCATTCAAAAAAAAAAAAGTTTAAGCTGGATGCTAATCGATGACTTGAATAAAATGTAATAAGAAAATCTACTTGATAGATACACAGATTTTAACGCGTATATTTGTATATGAGAGCGAATGAATTATTATGATATATTTGCATAAAACAATAATTGTGGAGGTCTTTTGAACATATAAAGGAAAATTTTAAATCTTTACTTGGATATATTAATAAACTAATACAGCCATAGTGATACATAAGATACATAAATAAAAACGAATTCTAAATTCTAAAAAAAAGTTATACAATTGTACATATACGAATACATTTTAGAATTAAAAAATTGCCAATAAACTCATCTAGCTCATACTGAATTAAAAAAAAATCAAAAATTATAATTGAGTCTTTTGATATTCGTCAATAAAATAATCTTTTTGATATTCATTAACATGACTATTAAAAAAAAAACAAAAAAAAAAAAACTTGTTATTAACTGTTCAAAGATCAAATAAAAAATAAAAAAAAATTAAGAAAATAAAGATACTTTAATAAATCAGCTAAATGCTCTTTCAGAACATTCAATGTCTCCTCGCCAATATTCGTATTCGATATTAATTTTGGGAAAATAACTAAAGAAAAATTGACCGTATAAGCTTTATCTCTAAACTAATAAACTACACTAACATTCAATAGTTTACCGAATAATCTTAATAAATGTTCAGCTCCATAAATTTGGGTATTTTCCAAATTTTCAAATTTAGAACGAATTTCTTTATATTGATTTCTTTCTGACTGATATAAAAGCCGAGTTCCTAAGCATTTGTTAAAATAAAAACCTACACCTTTACCAACTTCTTCAGCAATACCGTCACTGATACATTGAAAAAATAAATATATATATTTTTTATAAATAATAATAACAATAAATAATGATAATACTATGGTAATAAATAGTAATAAATGGTAATGATATATTACCGATTAAAAGCACTCTGAATAGAAAATTCGGCAGGGGGTATTATTATGTTTTACTACAAAAATCAGACCTAAATATAAGCAATATCTCTGCTTTATCCCGCAAAACTCAATTTTTTGTAACGGTTTGATTGCTTTTAATCGGTAATATATGGAATAATAATAACACAGGTTATTTTTCCTTACAAGCTGTCTTTATTTTTCTCATGTCTCCAAGATTTATAATTGCTTATTATATCAGTCACTGAAGGTTTACGTGGCAATGGCACCCACTTATGTAAAATTAGTTAATTAATAAAAAAAAAAAAAAAAAAAAAAGGTATTGTATGGTTTTTTTTTAGTTCAAATATAAAATCTATACCATTTGTGACTTATTTATGTTTTCCCAATCCTGTACTAAAAGTATCCTAAGTGATTCAGGCATATAAATTATAACCTTAGGCTTCTTAACATTATCATCCTGTTGATAAATACAATTTTCGTGTCTTGATTAATAAAGATAATAATAATAATAATAATTATCAAGAAAATCTTAATAAATTCATTACTTTATCTAAGGAAAGATCTCTTTTCCTCTTTTTGCCTTTTTCCACAGAAGGATCTTGTACGATTTTTTTTGCTGATGGTTTATTTTTTTTTGTCATAGATTCTTCTATTTGTTTTTGTTTACTTAAATTTGCTTCGTTAATTGGCAATACTCTATATTCGGCTACCCACTCATCCCAACTTTTAAGTATCATTAAAATTTTAATGAATGAATATCAAATTTTTACAAATTTCAAAAATATACGAAAGTAAACTATATAATGCTTACGTATTCTTCCATCCTTTATAATGTATTAAATAATGTGGACCTGAATCTCCTGACTTTGGATGTTGGTAAACTTTGTCTAAAATCTAACAGAAATTAAGTATGTTACATCTATAATGCGAAAAAAACTAGCGGCGCTTTAACTTAAATATACCTTGGCCTCATATATCATAGGTCCGTGAAAACAAAGAATTCTATCACCTTGTCGATAAAGAAATTTTTCATTTTGTGCCATATTAGTAAAAATTATCGAAATTAAGATTATCCAGAGAAAAAAGATTGTTCCATTAGATTAATGATGAAAATTCGAACTACACTTATTTTATATTTTTCTTGTACAGCAGTTCACTTCCAATTGAGGAAAAGCAAACAATAAAATGCATGTAACTTATGTTACATTTACTGTATATCATACATAAATATAGTGAAGCGTCACTTTCGCGTGATGAATAATCTAATTACACTTTGACCAGGGATTATTATTTAGCGTTCGGTTTTAATAACTACGAAAAAAAAATAAAGTGTGCTATCATGTGATCTATAATCATGTAATTTCCTAATTCCGATCCCTTCGATCAGACGCTTGAAAGTCAAAACAATCAAATAAATCAAATCACACATATTAAAGTAATATATGAATAATGTTAATATTATTGTTAGAGTAAACCACTATATATATATATATATATATACGTACCATTATTTTGAAAGGAAAGTGGTTTCATAGGATTTTCTTCGTCCCATCCCTGTTACACGATCTTGCAATTTTATTGGTTCCCGAACTAGAGTCTAATCACATGATATCTCACGCAATATATGCATCTTGTAATACATGATTTTCTTTTACGTAGTCGCTTACTGGGTTTCTAAAGTTCATTGTGATTAAGCTTGTGAATTCGGTTCTCTTAACTTTCTACAAGAAAGCTTTAAATCCCGGGAGAGTTTTACTTCTCTCCACGGCTTGGGAGTGACCAAGGGATTTCAACACTTTATTCTAACATTACTGAGATGAATCCCCGTCTAGAGAAAGATCAAGCTATAGATTTCAAACGTTATTATTTATATGGCTTTCTCATAAACCTCATCCCAATATATGTCTTCTATCCTATAAGGACTGTTAAAACAATTCAACAGTCTAATATAGGGACGTCCTCTACTACTTCTATGGGAAAAGTTTTTTCTGAAAGAATAAAAACCCAAGGCGTTCGTAGTTTTTTTAAAGGTGTAGGTGTTCATGGGTTAGGTAGTATTAGTGGACGTTTGGTTCATTTTTCTACTTATGATGCATTAAGAGACATGGTATATAAAGGGAAAGGTGGATATGTTGGGTTAGGTTGGTTAGAAGGCCGTAATCATACAACTATTAATGCCTTTTTGGGAACTTTGAGTGCTATGATAACTTCAAGTTTTATGATCCCTTTTGATGTAATTTCTCAACAGCTGCAAGTTTCGAGATCTGCTCATTTCTCTACTAATAATATTAATCAGACAAATAACACTTCTACCACTCTTAAAAGAGCAATTTCTACCGCTACGACATCTAATCATCAACCAATTTATGTCGTTACATCTCCTCGTGATACACATTTAACACATAATATTAATGACTCACATTTACGTTCAATCTCATTAAAAAATAATTTTATTACACGTCTAAAACCAAAAGATGTTCCCCTTCACCGTTTTCTTTATCGTGGTTGGGCTGCTGGTCTACTCAACACAATTTCTTTTTTTCCTGCCTATTTTTTCACTTATACATATACATCAGAACAATTACATCAAAACCGACATCGTTTTTCTTTCTTACCTACTTCTCATTTCTTTGTTTCTGTGTCGGCTGGTGTCATGGCTGGAGCTACCGCAACTTTCACTTCTGCGCCTTTTGATGTTGTAAAGACAAAAATACAGGTCGCACGTGAAGCGGGACAAAAGGAATTAAGGTGGTTGAACATGGCTACAAGTATTGTAAAGACTGAAGGTTTAAAAGGTTTATTTGTTGGAATGTCTGCTAGAATGTGGATTATCGTTCCATTGGGTAGTTTAAATTTCTGGGTATTTGAAAAAGTAAGGGATTGGAGTATTGTAAAAGTTCCGTTGAATGATGATTAAAATTTTTTTTCACCACTTGAAAAATAAATGCTTTTTAAATGTTATTATTTATAGAATTAAGATTCGAATATATTAATAATTATTTTATATATATATCTTTGACAATATTAATATTATTCAAAAAATTTTAATGGTTTTATAATTTCTTTAAGAGGCTTCCCTCACTAGTACATACTAATATATTGTGTGGTGCTTCTGTATATAGATAAAAAAAAAAAAAAAGTCTTAATTTGTGTAGATTCAAATATTTATAATGCATTTAGAAAAATAACATATATGTGCATTTATGACATTGTTTTTTTTTTTAATTTATTTTATCAGTTATATATAATACAAATAGAAAATCTTTTCTATATTATATGATGCTTTACTAATTGTAATGTATACTGTATATATGAATACGTACAATTATTAATTAAATTAAATCTGCGTATATCAAAAACATAATGCAATTTGATATTTTGAATTTATGAAGGCAGTAATATCGATATTAAAAAATTAATTTTATATGCGAAATGATTATGATCCACTATTAGCTACGTATAGTGTTTGATTAACGACGCTTCAAATACTGTATCTAACAAATTAATTTTTATTGTATAAGTAATATATTTTAATATTTATTATTAATAATCGAAAATTATTTATATATTTTATTAATTTGCAATATTTGATTATAAGTTAAAAGGTTTATAATAAAAAAACAAACTTTATGAAACATTTTTTTAAAAAATTATATAATTATATACAAAACGTTAGATTAGTATTAGGAGCTTTTTTTTTTTTTTAACTTTGCAAATTTGCTTTGTAGTTTAGCTTTATTAGCTAATTAATTATTGTAATTGCAATTTATAATAAGAACACAACTAGTCATATATACAATTTTAGGTTGTCTATTTAAAAATTTTACTTTAAGATTATTTTTTTTTTAACCTTTTTAGCAAGTCATGCCAATACTTTATTTGCAATAAATTTTGTACTTGACAAAAATATTAGA